GCTCCTTTTGGTTCCCACAAAGAGGCAAAACAGAGAGTTATCTGTTACCCTTATAACGTGCGAAACAAATCAGACCCTCTTCTTCCTACCTCCGCCAAGGAAAAATTTAAAAAAGTCAAGTGTCGTAAAATTAAAAATAATTATTCAATGTTTCTTCTAAATTCGCACAATGCAATGCCTTCATCGACCTTTGTTCTAGAATGAATATGGAACTTATCGGCCCATTCTTTCTGCTAACTCTCCCATAAAGGGTTAAATATTAATATAACAATAAGCCATAGATGTAATGTAAATATGGAATATGTCGGTCCACTCCTTCAGATACCTCCCCCACCACATAGGGAAAATGTTGATTACTAATTAATCCCACAAAACTGGAAATAAGTAATTATTGTACATCTCATTTTTTTACACCATTAGTATTGTCTGTATTAATACATCCACTCTTTATCCTACCTCCAACACAAAAGTTCAAAATTTTTTCTCCAACCTGGAAAGAAGGATTTATTAACTTTGTCATTCCGTTTGTGACATCCCTATATATTCATCGATGACACCATATATAAAATACTAAATCGATATAACGATGTCCTTCTGTCTGTCCGTCTGTCTGTCTGTGGAAATCACGTCTGTCTGTGGAAATCACGATACATCCCACATTATTTGGCGTAGAGCGTCAAAATTTAGCAGAACATTTTGTATTGTGTCTAGGATGGTTGGTATAAAATGAGATATATCGGTCCACTTTTTGATATAGTTCCCATATAACGGTGCCTTTTGATATTCGTTTTGTGATAATTTTTGCCATAATGAGTTCTAGCTCCAGTGGTGAAACATTATATGTATAGGTCCTCGCCCCCATATAACGATACCTTCCGATATTCGGTATTTTGACGACTTTTGCATATTTTCCCCCCAATTTGTCTAAAAATTGGTATTTGTAGTTTGTAATGGGTTCTTCCTCATGTGGCGAAACATTGTATGTATAGGTCCACGTTTTTGTATATCTCCCATATAATGGTACCTGCCGATATTCGATATTTTGATAAAAAAATTGTATTTTTAGTTTATAATGGGTTCTAGCCCGCTGGCAGAACATTGAATATTTAGTTCCACGTTTTCTTATAGCGCACATATAACGATACCCACCTGTATTCGGTATTTTGATAATTCTAGACACATTTACCCACATAATTGTTTCAAATTTGGTATTTTAGAAGATTTGATAGTTGACAATCATCGAAATAAAAATTGTCTATAGGCCCCGTTTTGTTATGGCCCCATATAACGGCTCTCTTTATGATTTAACTGCATTATGCAAACGGTCTAACTGGCATATGAAGTTTAAAGTGAAACACGTTTGAATTCAGATACTTTTATATAAAAATGTTTCCTTACTTAATGTTAATCACTTGTTTAATGTTTTTTTTTTTTTTTTTGTTTTAACTTGTTTCACATTAAAAATATATATATTTTTTACGTCAAACGAAAATTTTCAATTTTAAATCTGAGTTTTTCAGAAGCCATGGTAGGTATCACCTGGTCTGCTGGAAAACCGAATGATACCTCATAACTTGTTTGAAGTTATCACTTTGCTTGAGGCCGCGAAAATATTTGACCTATGTTTTTTCATAAAAAATTGATTTTACAATTTTATTTTAAAAGCGCAAAAAGCTACTGTGTCGGTCTCATTTCATGCAATGAAACCCCCCAAAAGGCAATTCAACTTCAACACTTTGTTTTTGTTATACGCCCATGTTTGCAGAGCAAACATAAGCTGATGGACTTTCGCTGCCACATTTTATGTTTGTTTGCAAACCTATCTGCTTTGAATCGAGTTAGAAGAAGCTTCGAAAAAAATTGCTTCGTGGTGTAATGGTGGTTTGATGCAAGCGCAGGTCGTGGTTTATGGTATAGCCTCAAAATAGGTGTGCGTTCAGCAACTAATTTTAACGCAGTTTTTAGCCACATAACACACATTGGCAATACCTCAATTACAATCAGTAATCTATCAGTCTGCATTGGCACAAGCATTCAGTACCGTTATATGAAGTCATACAATTTATAGACATTTCCAATATGTCTTCTTCGTTTACATTAAATTGCCATAATTTTGCAACATATATCCATTTTTGTTGAAAACTGGACAAATTGAGTGAATTGTGTGAAAACTATGCAATTTTAATTTGGCCACTCGACAAATTCTGGTTGTTTATGTTGTCACTTTTCGCAAGACATATTTCAAAGATCAAATGATTGCAATGTCCAGTTATAATTACAAAACTATATATATTTATAGAAATATTGGATAATAATAATTGGATTTTGTATGTGACAAAAGTAAGCCTAATATAGGTCGATCTAGAAACTTTTATCACAACACACTCTGCAGTACCAGCAAGCCAACAAATAATAAGTTCTATGAAAAAGAGTCCTTTGAAAAGAAAAGTATTAGGAGATTATATTCTAGCTAGTTACAATTTGTTTAGCAAAATCGGTGGAAATTCAGTTACAGTTTTCCAAATACTAGTAAAGTGACCGTTGTTGTTATATGGAGGCTATACCAAAACATCAACCAACATATAAACATTTCTGCTACAGGGATTATTCTCTATTGCGAGTGTCAAATAATAAATGTGGAACAATTTCGTTGAAAACTGTGGCTATCGTCCCGGCCGAACTTTGGTGCTAATTAAAGTTCAGATTAGCCAAACTTAAAGATTTTTTATTTGTCAAATTGATTTTTAAACTCCTTGTAAGTGCCGAGCGAACCAAACTGCCCGATTTCGAAGATAAAGTGGAATGAAACTTCGGATATCGGATAAGTATTCGATCCGGCTTTTGACAGAAAGTTATATGGAGAGGTCGATATGTTGTCGAACAAATTCGGAAGGTAATAAGAGTTATCGGGTCAAACTCAGAAGTACTGTCGTGTTGAATTTTGATATTAAAAATTTCGAAAAATGTCATGCAAAAAATTACGAAAGATTAAAAAAAAGAATATTATCACAAAAATATTTTTATTCACATTCCGAAATATGGTGTAAATTGTCAAAATATAAATAACAAATATAAGTGTAGTAATTAACGTAACAATATATTCTATGTCGATTTAGTCATATCTGTCCGTCTGTCAGTATAGATCCCACATAACTGTACGGCCAGATTTAAGTTACTATTTTTTTGAAAGTTTTTATCACAATTTTAAAACGAATTTCCTGTAAATTTACAGTTTGTGTTCCGAGAATGTAGATGTTTCATCCTTACAAAGAACTGTCCATATAAAGATTCAAGTATTGACGACTTCCTATGACAGAACATTACCTATACAGTTTAACATCTTTGAATATCATATAATGGCACCTTCCGATATTCAGCATTTTGCCAATATTTCTCAACGGAAGTCTCTTAAAGTTGATGATAAGCACCGCCTACTCTGATTATACAGGTCCAAGTTTTCATAAACCAACCATATACCCGTTAATACGAATTTTAACCATATAAGTGGCATTTTCTTTAAGTGAATTTTATGGAACTATGAACTTATTAAAAGTTGCTTTTTCACTTTTTTGTAAATTGTAAATGGTAGAAATGAATTTATCGGTTCCAATTTGAACCAGTAAGGAAAGTCCTAAAGTCGGACGGGGCCGACTTTATGATACCCTACACCACATTGCTAATTTTGTAGAGTTCCACATAACAATTAAAAGATTTTATTGGAGAATTTAATTATACACGTTATGATTATAATTGTAATTTAAAGTTCAAAGGACTAAATATGTCGAAGCATTTGTATCTTTTAAATTCGGACTTGTATTGCCCATTTGGTGCAAAATTAATTTGAAATCAGATAAAGATATATATGGGAGCTATATCCAAATCTTAACCGATCTCGATAAAATTTGGCAAAGATATTTCTGAGCTGTATTTGATATATTTCCCTGAATATCGTTGTTACAAATCGGATGAACAATATATATGGGAGCTATAGCTATATCTGAACCGATCTTCACCAAATTTGGCATACTAGCTTCTAGACTCAATTCGGTCGTATGTGCCATTTGCCCATCTCATTTGGGCAAATATTAGACGTCTGGTGTACAATAAAAGGTAAATCGGACGAAGTCATATATGGGAGCTATATCCAAATCTGAACCGTTCTCGATAAAATTTAGAAAAGGTATTTCTAAATTTCCCCAAATATTGTTGTTACGGAGTGCATATTACGGCTGTGGGTAACAAATATAACAAATCGGATGAACAATATATATGGGAGCTATAGCTATATCTGAGCCAATCTTCACCAAATTTGGCATACTACCTTCTAGACTCAAATCGGTCGTATGTGCCAAATTCCATCCCAATTGGACAAATATTAGACGTTTGGTGCACAATAAAAGTAAATCGGACGAAGTTATATATGGGAGCTATATCCAAATCTGAACCGATCTCGATAAAATTTAGCAAAGGTATTTCTGAGCTGCATTTGATATATTTTCCCAAATATTGTTGTTACAGAGTGCATATTACGGCTGTGGAGGACAAAACTAACAAATCGGATGAACAATATATATGGGAGCTATAGCTATATCTGAACCGATTTCGATCTTATTTTTAGGCCTAATATGGTTGTATGTGCCAAATTCCATCCCATTTGGGCAAATATTAGACGTTTGGTGCACAATAAAAGGCAAATCGGACGAAGATATATATGGGAGCTATATCTAATTTTTGACCGATTATCTCCAATTTCAATAGGGTTCGTCCTCGGGCCAAACAAATGTTGTTTGGAAAATTTCATCTCAATCGGATAATAAATGCGACCTGCATTTTGTTCACAAGAATACATGGACAGACGTACGGGCGGAAAGACGGACTGACATGCATAAATCAACTCAGAAAGTGATTCTATGGAGATCCTCAAAAGTAACTATTGATCTATCGCGCTTCCTTCTCCATGTTACAAACAAATGCACATTTTTTACTCATATTTTTAAACTCATATTTAATTTTTGTTTCAATTTTATTTTATTTGTAATCTGCTTACCCTTTGTGGAATATTATGTGTTTACGTACCTGAAAATACAAAAATTATAGAATTAATAATTTTTACAATAAATAATTAAATTATGTATATGACGTTGTCATAAAATATGAATACTAATTCAAAAGATCCACATATATTGCTACATTTTACATAAAGGGTATAATAAGTTAATTAAAAATGCAACACACAGAAAAATGGTTCTGTACCCCTATATTACTTAAATGATCGACTTTTAAAACTAAGCCCTTATGTTGGTTGGATCACCAATAAACATTTCTGGAAGTAAATCCTTCATGAAAATAAAGATGGTATGTTTTTCAATGATACACAAATCTCTGTTTTTTGAACAAACGGACTTATAATGAAAGAAAAGCGTCTCGCATCCAACAGTGGTTGAAATAAGACAAATTGTTTCACTTTTAAAAACTCATTTTCAAAATATTTACAAAATACATGTGGCAAAACTACCTTATAACATTTCCATATAATTTTCCTACTTCTGAAAATTCTACATATATTTCCTGTTATGTTACCAAATCTCAACCTCAAACGTGAGTTAATTTTACTATGAATACATCAAACTATTTTTTTCTGAAAGAAGAATCTATACTTGGAACTCCCAGTGCATCGTTTGAGTAGTTTTATGAAGATTAATAAAACGACATTTTTTGTATTAAATTGCCTGAGATCAAATACAAGGTGCATTCAATATTTATACAAAAAAAAAAAAAAAAAACAGAATGTGATAATATCATTCATCATTATGTGTACACTGAAAAATTATGTCGCTTCAGATTTTTATATTTTATCCAGAACTCCGGTTTGCTATTTACTCGAGCGAGCGGTAGAGCTCATACATACGAACGGTATTGTAAAAACTCAGAAAGAATACTCGGCAAAAGTAGAATCTACTCGATTTCAAGCCAATTTCTTCTCATTCAAAAGCAGACGAAGCATACTCGCTTATATTCCAGTTTCACACAGAAATGAGAAACAGTCGTTTTCTTTTATATTCGCAGGATTACTCTTGCTCGAATTTTTAATAAAGGGAAATTCTCGTCCCCATCTCTGAGCCCTGATATCATCTGATCCGTATTTAACAACCTACTCCACCTGTATACTGCGCCAAAGTCGTTACATACATCCAGCAAGGCTTCTATTTGATATATCAAACATACATTATCAAACTTCTTCACCAATAACAAAAGTCCACCCCAAAATTTTAGATGCATTCCAACAGTTTGATACATTTTTTAAACATAAATACATGCCTCGTACAGCTTTATCAGGTTTTCAAGGTTTTATATCATATTAATTTTTTTTCTTTTTCGGAAATAATAATAGGGAAATGTTTAGCTTTTACATCAAAAAGTCTTCAAAATCTTTTATTTTAAGGTCTACCGAGAAGGATATCAGTAAGACATTTGCACAATGAACACACATCCAATTTTTTGTCCAAAGCTATTTCAACGTCTCCACATGTAAACCCTAGAAACCAACAATGACCTCAATATAAAATTGTAGGATTTCAGACAAATTACCACCAAATTTAATAGCTTTTAGTACGCATATCCGAAACGATATATATCTCACTATCCTAGACACCAACAGTGATCCAAAACTAGTTCCATTTAGCACTTTTCGAATGCCGACAGGGACCTCAATATCAAATTTCCCATACATTCACTCAATACCAAATTTAATAACATTTAGTACTTTTCGTACATTCCGTTTGCCTAATACAAAGTATTTTTAGTATTTTATACCCTCCACCATGGGTAGGAGGGTATATTAACTTTGTCATTCCGTTTGTAACACCTCTAAATATTCGTCGTAGACCCCATAAAGTATATATATATATTCATAATCAGCATAAAATTCTAAGACGATTTAGAAATGTCCGTCTGTCTGTCTGTCCGTCTGTCTGTCTGTCTGTCTGTCCGTCTGTCTGTTGAAATCACGATAGAGCCCACATTATTTGACGTAGACCTTTCAAATTTGGCACAAGTGTGTGTATGATGGTTGGTATTGGATGGTTGGTATTGAAAATGAGATATATCGGTCCACGTTCTGGTATAGTCCCCATATAACGGTACCTCCCGATATTCGGTATTTTGATGATTTTTGCCACATTTTTTCACGGATTTATCTGAAAATTGGTATTTGTAGGTCATGACGGGTCCCTGAGCGTGTGGCAAAACATTGCATGTATAGGTCCACGTTTTGGTATAGCCCCCATATAACGGTACCTACCGATATTCGGTATTTTGATGATTTATGCAACATTTTTTCACGGATTTGTCTGAAAATTGGTATTTGTAGGTCACAACGGGTCCCTGAGCGTGTGGCAAAACATTGCATGTATAGGTCCACGTTCTGGTATAGTCCCCATATAACGGTACCTCCCGATATTCGGTATTTTGATGATTTATGCCACATTTTTTCACTGATTTGTGTAAAAGTTGGTATTTGTGGGTCATAATGGGTCCTAGTTCGTGTGGCGAAACATTGTAATTATAGGTGCACGTGTTGGTGTAGCCCCTATATAACGGTACCTCCCGATATTCGGCATTTTAATGTTTTTTTGCCACATTTCTTCTAATGTTCTTTTACCCTAGGGTGGAGGGTATTAAAAGTTTGGCCCGGCCGAACTTAATGTTTTTTTACTTGTTCGTATTCTTTTAGTACGAATTGGCAAAAACACGGCCTTATCACACGCACCAAAAGTGAGAATGATTCTAGCTCCAGGCGTTTCGTTGACTCGGTGTTGGCTTGTTTGCTCGGGATACCATAGTATATAAATCTTTTATTTAACTAGGCCCTACTAGGCATTTGAAAAGTCATCAATTTAAGTCTTGGAAAAAATCGTCTTTTAGCAAGGTTTACGTAGACCACTCTAACGATTTAACAATATTCTCAGTCACTTTTTTTATTTTTTAGTTTTGAAAATAGTCTGACGGACAATTCTATCTTACTGGTTTGAATTTTCCCCCAGTGTAGTTTTTGCTATCCATTAAATGTAGCCATAATGTTAATGTTATCACTGTGATGAAAAAATAACCTACAAAAAAGCTCTATACGCGTGTTCGACGATTATTACTATTATTTATTCAATGATGTCAAATGCAGAAAAGTTCCTACGGAACGACAGGTCGCTGGACAGACGGGCAAGCCGACAGACAGACAAGCCCACATATGGACCTCTATTCACAAGAGACTATTTATTAATCAATTTGATGACTTCATGTGGCACACTAAATTTGAATGTATATGTATGTGTTTGTGTGCTTCTTAATTTATGTTCTACGCTGCTGCCGACCAGTGAAATCTAATCGCATTGGCTTGTTCGCTGCCGCCGCCAGTCTTTATTCATATTTAAATAAATGTGTTCGCATTACCGTCTAACTGACTGTCTGTTTGTCTCTCTAAGCGAATGAATGGCTATCAGAGTTGTGATAGAGTACAATTTTGACTTAAATAGCGCCACAGCAGCAACGACGACACTACATTGATGATATGTTAAGATTTTTAACTATTCTGTATGAGCTCATGTGTCTATCAACTTTACAAAAATTTAAATAAAATCTCAATCCATCATCATGACGACAGTGAGGCAACGACAAAAGAACAATCAAAACTTGACATATGTATTTTTGAGATTTTCAAAAACAAGATCATGCTACTAATATTATTCTTGCCCTTAACAATTTGTTATAACAAAAAAGAGCAAAAGAATATTATTAAATTAATTTTCCATTTGTCATAACTTAGGTGTTTATATCTTAGTATGACTATCAAGATGGTCTGGTCACCATAAAAATACAGAAATGAATTTAATTCAACGATTCAAGATTGAAATTTGGACAATTTTTAAATTCACCATTAAGACTAAAACTAATGAAAAATGTGTTTTTTTAATTTATTGATTGAAATTAACAAAAAAGTTGTTTGAAAATATTCACGATTTAAACTTTAAAGATAAAAAATTAAAGGAGCTAAGTTCTAATACCCTCCACCATTCCGTCGAAAAATTTCGCTTAACTGATAACCGGTAAAAAGTGTCGCTTAAATCACCAAAACACCCAATATCGGGAGCTACGAAGACGTGGACCCTCAGACAATTTTTCGTCATAGGCTGTAGTACAAATTCCGAAGTTCGAATAGGAAATTTGATACAATTTCGTTCAATAATGTCGCTAAAATCATCCAAATGCCGAATATAGGGATGTACCGTTATATAGGGCCTATACGAAGAACTGGACCTGCATACGTCACATTTTCGGTAACAGGGTGCAGAACCTACAATACGAAATTTGAAACAATTCCGGTGGATAATGTCGCTAAAATCATTAAAATACTGAATGTCTAGGTATCCCTCTATATGGGCGCTATACAAAGACATGGACCTGCATAAGCTATTTTCTGTCATAGAATGTAGTACCCATTAGGAACTGCAAATTTGAAATATTTTCGGTGAAAAGTGTGACAATCATCATCAAAATTCCGAGTATCTGAAGGTACAGTTACATGGGGACTATACCAAAACTTAGAGCTATATTGGCAGTTCTATGCAAGGTTGTTTCTTATATAATGGGAACACATGCTGCTAAATTCGGATTAAAATTGTGATTAAAATATCCAACAAGTTTCGGTAAAACCCATTTTCAATACAAAACGTTCTGCAGACCTAACATACATCAGAATAACATTTTATCAACCTACTTCATTTCGTTCGGAAGCTAGAGTGATTTCCACAGACGAAAAGACGGACGAACATCAATAAATTGACATAGATCAAGAATATATATATTTTGTGGGGTCTAAAATTTATATTTGAAGGGATTACAAACGGAATGGCAACCTTAACATACACTCCATACCATGACGGAGGGTATGAAAATACATATAGGAGTAATAGATAAGTGGAAACCGAGTTTCACGAAATGGAAAAGTTCAGTTGAATATGCCAAAATCCACTCAATTTGAGCTGATATTAAAAATATTGCGCACGATAACCGCCAATCCGATG